AAAAAGAAATATTTAATTATATTGCTGATAAAGTTTCGATACCTAGCCTAGAAGAATCACTGGCTTGGAGCAAAGAGAATAAGTTAGTGGTTGGTAATTTTATATAAAATACAATATCTTTTATAACTTTAAGTTAATTAAAGGCTACTGAATTATACTATATATCTTCCAATAAAATAAATAATATAACAAATAATAAAGACATTAAAACCCCCATATACCATTCAACGTTATGAAAGTATTGTACCGTTTAAGAATTACGAGGAGTTTAATAATGATTTAAATGGTGAAAAAGAGAAATGGTATGTTCTTGATGAATTAGAGAAAGATTATACATATGAAACAAGAGTTTCATATGCAGCAACAGTAAGATTTTGTTATTATTTATTAGGATTTTTTTTTTTTTTGAAATAAATTTTATTCATTCACATAATATTTATCTAAATATTTGAATGTAAAGTCACCGACAGATTTCATATTGGAAATAATTAGTTTGGAGGATGCTGCAAGGATAATTAAAGCAAGAAAAGGGCTGGATTATTTAGAATCAGTATGTTTGATTATTCTTATTATGATGGATATTTCCTTTACAAAATTTTAAAAAATTTTTTTTTTCTTTTTGGACTAAAGAATCCAAATCAAATAATAACAATTACAAACAAACGATTTCTTCGAGTGAGGGCAATATATACAGGTGTATCAAATGTATCTCAAAAAGAATCTAAACCTGTTATTTATAATATTGGTAAAATTTATTATCATGTATATATATGTTTTTTTTGGTATTGCTAATTTCAAGGATATTAATTAATGAAATATTTAAATAGTTTTGGAAACATTGACATTCGGTGTTCCACGCGTGGCATTTAAATTAGCTTTAGTTTTGGGAATTGCAGTTGGTGTCGGTTATTACATATTTATTCCTAAAATATATGAATCTTTACGTAAATTATCAATGAGAAATGATGAAAAGATTAAAGATAATTAATCTTTTAATCGTGTTATTTTATTATATGTAAACAAAAATACATTGTAAACATTTTATGATGCATGATTAAAGATTATGTTAAATAAATTTCAATTTAATATAACTATTTTTACATCAGTTGCCGAATTCCCAAACTCTGCTCTCGCAAAGAAATTACTCAATTATAATGAAAGATTTATTGAATAACGTATTTATAAAAAAAATTTCAAAATTTACCTTCATTTATGAAATAACAAAACCGAAATTCTTATAAATTGAAAATACGATGTCTATTATGTCACCGATATTCAGCTCTTGTATAAATTATGTTAGATATCAAGTAAAATTCGTTGATT